TTCTAGAGATCAACCTTGATTGTAATTAGATTTTTGGAGTGTGGTTGCAGAGGTGATGAGGCGGCGCCGACCCTCCCCACAGAACAGTCTGCAACCTACCTGGATAGTGGTGGGTATTTTACCTCAAAAGCTGTTTTAAATACAGGCGGTAGAGAAATGTGGTTTGACGTTGCAATCTGCCCATACATTGCTACCGAAACTGTTCCGAATGGTTTCGCTGACTTGTCTTGGGTCTCAGTTAGTGACCAGCTAAATTGGGGCTGGAATAGTATCTCAGTTTTAAAAAAATATCTTAAGATATTTATTTTTTTTTAGGAAAATGCCAGCAATATAATTGTGTGCGTCTGAACAACATCAGGAGGGCTGATGATGTCCTCATATTTTGGCACATATTTGTTTTCTTGTTTGAGGCCAGAATCGGTAGCCATCCTCTAGAATTTAGTGCGTGTTATTTCCTTGCCTTCAAAACCCACTCTGCTTTTCCATTCACAGAATCCCATGGGGTTGGAAGGGACCTCTGGAGATCATCTAGTCCAAACCTCCTGCCAAAGCAGGGCCACCCAGAGCAGGTTGCACGGGAACGTGTCCAGGTGGGGTTTGAATGTCTCCAGAGGAGAAGACTCCACCACCTTCCTGGACAGCCTCTTTCAAGGCTCTGCCACCCTCAAAGGAAAGAAGTTCCTCTTCGTGTTGAGGTGGAACTTCTTCTATTCAAGTTTGTCCATTTCTTCTTGTCCTATCCCTGGGCAACCAGGGATAGGATATTCCAGCATACCTAGAAAGCCTGATGGTAGAGGAAGAAACACCTGCAGTTACCCAGCAGTTTCTGTAAGAAAATTGACTTTTTCAGGCATTTTATAACTTCACTGAAACGCAATGACTCAGACCAAATTTTCCTGTTGTGAGGTGTCTGAGTGAGGTTGAATTACTGTGTAAGAAAATGTTAGCTAAAATGTTTCTGTGACCCATGAAAAATGCATTTGGTTTTTTTTTAATCTTGGAGGAGCTCTGGTGCTCTTGTGTTTTGGAGCAGGAAGTGCAGCAGGGAAGCTTTCTGGTGAAAGCAGCTACTGGCATTTACAACAATCCTCTTTGCCAGTAGTCAGGAATGCAAATAAATTTGATCAAATAATGAGGTTCTAAAAATTACGTATTGCAAGTGATATTCAGTACAATGCTACATTAGAATTTGGCAGCGAAATGCTGTCTATATTGAGAACATACTTTTCTGTAAAAGTCCTGTGTGTGAAACCAGAGAAAACTGGATTTTGTCCTTATTTCTGCCACAGAGCAATTGGGTGAGGCTAGATGAGTCAGTTAAGGCATTCTAAGCTGGTCATTAATTTTACGTTATTCATTCTCTGAGTACCTAATTTTGAGGCTGTTTAGGTTAGATTCTTAGTTCTGAACTCCTCCTGTGCCCGCAGTGTCCTGAGATCTGGAGGAAGCTATTAAAAAGGCTGAATATTTGGTGATTCTGTGAAATATGTTAGCCGATAAAATTATTTTAAGGTTTTTTGGATGCCTGACTGTCCTACATCTGTGCAATTGGGTTTGGCTGCTGTTACGCCTTAGAAAAGGTTTGGGGTGATGCTTTTATGATTTTATAATTGCATTTCATATACAAACACTGTCTATTTTGGGCATCAAATGAACCACGCTTCGGCAGGAACATTGCTGCCTTAGGACTTGAAGGAACCTCAAGACACCTACCGGTCTGTTCTTCTAACCATGATGGAATTAATCTACCCAGGTAATACCTGAGAGGTGTGCTGAGAGGTTTAACAGCTCTTAATAATGGCAGATGGCTATTGGTTCCAGTGCTTCAGAAACTTTATTGCCACATAGTTTTCCTTCGCATCCAGCTGAAATCTCCCCTACCTCAGTGCAACGTAGTTAGTGGTTGTATTAAAACACACACACAGTTAAAGTTATGCAGATAGCTTTGGATTTAAGACTTTTTTTAACCTGAATGTTGATTTTATACGTGTGAAGCGATCAAATGTAGTACATGCCGAGACTGGAAGTATTTTGCATCTGAAGATATCATATTTTTATTTATGATTCAGTCAAAATAAATTAAAATAATCGATGATTGTTTTGAAAGCAAATTACTGGGAGCGCTATATATCTACCATGGCAAGTGCTGAAGAGATGAGAATATCTTATAATGCCAGAATGAGTTGTGTAAACATGGGTATTTATATACTCAACAGCAGCAAATCTTTGAGAGATTTTTGCTATTTATTTTTTTTCTTGGCAGGAGAAACTTCTTCACGGTGAGGGTGACGGAACCCTGGAACAGGCTGCCCAGGGAGGTTGTGGAGTCCCCTTCTTTGGAGATTTTCAAAACCCGCCTGGATGTAGTCCTGAGTAACATGCTCTAGCTCTAGGCAATCCTGCTTCAGCAGGGGAGTTGGACTAGATGATCTCTATGGTCCCTTCCAACTCTAGAAATTCAGTGAAATTCAGTGAAATTCAGTGAAAAATGTTCTTGGCAGCCAACATGTAGGAACACAGCTCGCATCCGTAGGCAGCTGGGTAAGGGCTGTTCAGAAAGCGGGTCAGGATCTGGAGGAAGGCAGTAGATTAACGTTTCTTTGAGAGAAAGGTAGACTGAAAGCAATTTCAGTAAGACTCTGTAACCCATCTTGAAAACTGAGAGGCAGATAGTTAGGAAGAATGTAAGAGAGAGAACTGAGGGGAAAGTCTTCACAGCAGGCATGCGCTCAACTGATAGCAGAAATATCTGGAGGGAAAGATGGGAGGGTATCTAATTTATCTGAAATAGATTAAGATAAAACGTAAGATGTATTTGTATGACGAACAAGCTATTTGCTTGTTTGTTTTCTCCAAATAACACAAATGTAAAGTTGTTCCCAAACCAGAAACATCCACTTGTTTAACTGCATCATAGACAGGTCTGAATCGGTGATTAAGCTTCCTGTAGTAGCATGTGCTGTCAGTGGTTTTGCAGGGGGCATCCTCTCCTCCCTCTCTAGTCTTCCTGAGCCCACTCCTGTTTCTTTTTCCCTAGCCGTTCCCTTCCTACATCCAGAGGAGCTTGGGACCTCGTTGCCAGCAAGTAAAGATACTCCTGAGCTGATACTGCTGCTTTGTGGTGCGTGGCCAGGTGCATGCTGGTGAGGAAGGTCCTTTATGTTTTAGAGGCTGAGAGAAGTGTGTGTAGCAGCTCTGATGGATTAATTTTTATAGTTATTAGCTTGCTCAGTTTTCTGTGACGCTGGTCTCCATTTTAGCCATCACCAGAATAACAATGTTAGGTGCCTATGCATGCTGCAGAAAACAGCAATGGGTTTTTGATGTCTCAAAAGTCTCTGATAGTAGAGGGATTCTGGGACAGTTGTCCTCTCATTTGCAGGCCACTGGTGTGCCTTCATTCAGCCTTTAATTCTCCCCTTTTATCTCTATTCCCTCCTTGCTCTTCTAGATATCTGTTGTGGCCAATCTAAGTGATACGATTGCTCTCTGTGCATCTCTGGAGAATTTAAATAACATCATTCCTTCCTTCTCTCTTATCCGTATAAATGCAAAGGACATTTCTCTTCTTTAGGCAAAGATGGAAAACTTTTTTCTCTCTCTCTAAGAATGAGTAAAACGCAGGCTACTTGGTTGAGCAAATGAATTCAATTGATGAATCTGCAAGAATCTTCCTAGGCTGTGCCTTCAAACTGCAACAGATGTGTTTTCTGATGAAAATCTAGTTGACTTAATTATGTTTTTAGCATGGATTTGGAAGAGGAAATTATTTTTCTCAATATATTGGAGGATGGGGTTCTGTTTTAGGAATTTAATGAAATAATTTGCAGGAGAAAGGTACTATTAAATAAGATATTTTTATAATAGTGTGCCTTCTGAGACCTCTGTTTTCTTCCCACTTGGCTGCTTAGCATCGTCTCTCTCTACTCTCATTCTGTTTTAATAAGCATTTTTCTCTGTAAAATGTTGGCTCTGATGCACAACGGAAATAGATGCACACACAGGTTATGATTCCTCTCCCTGTTGTTGCGTTTTGATTCTGAACTCCAGATTTAATCTAGTTAAATAACCTACTCCTGGGACTTAAGTCAACTCCTAGATACTTCTTGATGTTCAACAAATAGTAAAGCATTACAGTAATTTAAATCAAATAACCAAATCCATATAAAATGCACTACTTGTTATCTTCCCAACAGATGTATTTTCTTCCCTGGATCTGTTTTAAGCTGCCCTGCAGTTGCCAAATCAAAAATAAACCAAGTTTTCAGTAGAGGGGTGTGATAAGTGTATGATTTCCATTACATCCCAGCATGCTACATCATAAAAAATGAAAACATCTAACACATTTGGAGTATAGAATTGAAATGGATTTTCTAGCCTAGTCCCAGTGAATAGGTGCTGAAGTGATGGCAAAGACTGTAGCTCCTGGGTTGTAATTGTCATTTGAGTTATTTCTCAGTGGTAGGAGACTTTAGACCTGGGGGTACAAGGAGGAGGAAAAAAAAAAAGGCAAAGAGTCCTTTTTCCCTTTGGCCATCAGCAGCAGAGTGACAAGCCAGTGCTTGTGAAGTTGTTTTGGGTGTGGGGAAAAGGGATTTATATTGGTAGAGCTTGTTCATGTGTTACCTTGCTACATGTTTGTAAGAACATAGTCTAACAAACTATTTTAAAATGTATTTGAGTGTTTTAATCATCTGGAACTTCAAGACCCTGTGAAAACAATTCTGGCTCCACAATGTTTCAGTACTTCAAGACCCTGTGAAAACAATTCTGGCTTCACAGAATGTTTCGGGTTTTTTTCTTCAGTAACAGGAGAAACTCATCTACATAGCATATATTTTGAATTCTTATGAGCATCGAAAGCATCACTGCTTGTTCATTCCATACAGAATCAGAGTCCTCTGTTGCTGTTGCCCTGAGTTAAATGAATCTCATTGCTGTGTATTTCACATAAAATGGAATTAATACAGAATATAATCTGCCTTTCTTTTCTGTTGTAGCTTGGCTTTACATCCGAAAAAAGACATTGTAGTCACTGGCAGCGATGACCGCCTCTGGAAAATGTGGGCTTTACCTGATGGGAACATCACTGTGACAGGTGAAGGTCACACTGATTGGCTTTCGGGCTGCTGCTTCCGTCCAAGGTTAGTGCAAACAGTCCCCTGAACTAGCACTAATCCCTTCTGGGGAGTACTTGTTTGCTCTTTCTTTGCTCACTGGCGTGCTTTGATGACTTTCTATTCTCGGTGTAACCCTGCGCTCTCTGCTGAATTTCCAAACATGTAGATAAATGTTCCTCTGGCTTTCAGTGTGTTGACTTAAGATTGATTGCTTTTAGTATTTTGTACGTCTTAAACTTTGTCCGTGTGCCAGTGCACGTAACAAGGAGTAATAAGCTTTTTAGGTCTCGCCGTATTTATTTTCTCTGTGTTCACGCACTATAACACAGTTCCATTATTAATACAGGAAAGTTGATTTCTTGTATTAGGCATTATTTGTCCTATGACTAAGAGTATTCAAGTTTACCTAGAGAATAAGAATATGAGCTTTCCTCCTTTCCCTTTATACAGATTTGAAGCTGAATTAGTAAATGAAAGTACACATCAAAAACAATAAATAAATATTTAGGTTACAAGGGTCGCAGAAGTAGGCCAAACATGAACTAGATTTCTTGGTGGTTCTCTTGAAAAATATAACACCATTCTACTCTTGAAAACAAATGGATTTTTTTTTTTTTAAATACTGAGCCTCTATATATTAAAATGATTTTGCATCAGATTTGTGAGGCTGCAGTTGTAATAGTGTTCTTTACTGTTAATGTAATAAAGGTCTGCCAGGCTACTCACCTGAGGTTTACTTATAAAAGAACATTATTAAACCTCTAAAATTCTATTTTCAATATATTTATTTTATGAAGCAATATTAGCTCTTTATGAGAAGGAAAAGTACCCTATCTAATTTCATGGTTCTTTCTGATTTCTGATATTCTAATGAGTTAGCAAACACACACAGTCCTCTAAATGCAAGAAAATCCTCTCCCTGTTTTCAAAACCTCAAGAACAAGGATTCATGCTTTCTGGGATGGATTAAACATGCACTTACTCTTTTCTTGCATCTCTCCTATGAAAGATAGGCTTTTTCTCAAGATGCTCACGTTTAACAATGTTCTCTTTTTCATGTGTATATTCTTAGAAATAACTTTATTGATTTAAAAGAAGAGAATAATATTTGACTTAGTTATATCTAACACAGGAAGGAGAGAACTGGAAGGTTCAGCTTATTTTAAGATAGTAGGAAAATTTTTCTATTACTGAATGACAAATTGCACAGTTTGTGAACATGCTGGACAAGTCTAACTTGCAGATAAACAGAATGCTGCCTTACCTCTTACCTGTTCTGAATATAAAACTCATCACCGGGAAAGAAAGGGAAATACAATTAGAAGAGCGTGTTATCGTTTATAAAGCTGCTGGGCATGCTAATCAGATTTCGATAATGCATTGTTACCATGACACCCGCTGACTCAGAGACTCAAAACTATTTTCTCATTAGTCTTTGACCAGAATACAGTCCTTTCAATAGGCTTTCCTATTTCTCATTCAATTATTGAAATTAAAATGAGTTGAGGTACATCATTATTCTCTTGCAGTATAAATTGACTCCTGCTGAATTCTCTGGAGTGAATCAAAAGCAGTGCTGTTAAAATATTGTCTTCCATTACTGGATAAAAATATATATAATGTGATAGAATACATTTAATCATACTTTTTTTTTTTAAAAAAAAGGGACTTCTATATATCAGATGTTCCAGAAGTAAAAACAATAAAATTACAATGGCAAGTTCCCATGTAATTTTTCTGGAATCAAATATAGTTAGCCTCTAGTTTTGTTCCCTTTTTAAAGATATAAAATTATGTTAATCCAGAAATTGAAAAAAAAATAATTCTTTTTTGTGGTATTAGACTTTTAAATTGTGATCCAGAAATCTGGGTAGAACTCCCACACTTCTACGTTCTTTCCTTTTTGTCCTCTGTTAGGTCATTTCTCCTCTATATTTCTTCTCTCCATCAGCAAAATCAGGTTTAAAGCAACCTTCAGCTCTGGTCTGAGAAACATTGTATGTGTAGCGACAGGACGTATACGCATGCACGTCACACACGCAAGCCCACTTTCAAATCATCTTTGGACAATATCAGAATAATCCACACAGGGACACTGGCTATACTAATAATTTGAGGAGAAACAAATCTAGAGCTATGATGTGAATTTAACTGGTACTTTTACACATACAAATGACTTAAAATCCCATAAATCTGTTTTTACGTGTTCACAGTGTACTATCACTTGAACAAGGGTCTTGTTTTTACGTGTTCACAGTGTACTATCACTTAAACAAGGACAACAGGACGTATACGCATGCACGTCACACACGCAAGCCCACTTTCAAATCATCTTTGGACAATATCAGAATAATCCACACAGGGACACTGGCTATACCAATAATTTGAGGAGAAACAAATCTAGAGTTATGATGTGAATTTAACTGGTACTTTTACACATACAAATGACTTAAAATCCCAGAAATCCGTTTCTTCTCTCCATCAGCAAAATCAGGTTTAAAGCAACCTTCAGCTCTGGTCTGAGAAACATTGTATGTGTAGCGACAGGACGTATACGCATGCACGTCACACACGCAAGCCCACTTTCAAATCATCTTTGGACAATATCAGAATAATCCACACAGGGACACTGGCTATACTAATAATTTGAGGAGAAACAAATCTAGAGCTATGATGTGAATTTAACTGGTACTTTTACACATACAAATGACTTAAAATCCCATAAATCTGTTTTTACGTGTTCACAGTGTACTATCACTTAAACAAGGATCTTGTAGTTTTCTTTTTACCCCTATTTATGTGGTGCTGGCACAGTTGCAGGTTTCGTTGGTAGCCGTGAAGATTCATAACCTTCAAGCTGAAGGTGCTGTTGGGTTTATGTCTCCTCAGCTTCTCCAAGCAATGAGAGAATGTGGGTTGGTAGTAGGAACTTATTTGTATACAGTAAGAAGGTAAAGGTATGTTTTAGGCTATGGACCTTGCCTGCTGATTAATACATAACAGTGATGAGGATTGTAATTTGAATCTTTCCCAGTACTGATGTACAACAATATCCCTAAGTTCCATAATGCCATTGAGTCTTAGGGACAAGGCCCACTGAGTTTCTGAAGAGTTGTTGGGTGGAGGGCATGGAGGAGTCTCATTTTCCCCCTCACTGACAATGTGCTTCATTCCACGATTATTTTTGCTTAAAAACACATCTCCTTCGTGTCTGAGCAAAGTAGAGTGAGGTGAGAGTGTGTGGGTTGCTGAAGCTTTGGGGTCTGGTGGTGTGTCATTTGTGCATTGCACCCAGTGCTCTTCAGCCTGTACAAAGGGTCTTAGTCCTCCCTGTGTTCTCCACATGGCAGTGGCTCCCAGGACAACAGATGAAGGGGAGCAGACTGGCTCTGTGCGTGTGAGGAAAGCAGAGCATCTCTGTTGTGATGCTCTCTGCAGATCTGAGAGGAGAATTTTGCCTTAAGCTTTTAAAATAAAAGTCAAACTTCAAACAGGTCCCCTCATCTGTAGAGTACAGCAGCTGGAAGAAGGGAGGAGAACAGTGATTCCTTTTTGAAGTTCAGGTGACAAGTGGTCAGACTTCAAAAACAAACAGTATTTTTGCTCCAGTCTAGCTGAATAGTACTTTGCAGATGAATTAGCTCTTGCAAGTTCCTGTCACTGTTGAAAAATTTAGGAATATTTTCCAACTTGTGTTTTAAATGTATGAAGGAGTAAGGTAGTCAGAGTGACTCCTGCCAGGGTCATTTACACGGGCTTCATGTTAAAAATCTGGATGGTTGGAGAAGAGCTGTGGATACCAGGTGGCCCAAATGTTTGGAATAACAGACAAAAGTCTGCATCTTGTGCCAGCTTCCTCAATAAGGTGATGATGCTAATGCTGCACCTTTAAGAACCATATTCTAATTACACTAAGATTTAGTTGTGATGCTAATGCTGCACCTTTAAGAACCATACTCTAATTACACTAAGATGTTTCAAGGCACATGCAAGATTTAGTTTTCTTTATTACTAACCTTCCTGGGTGGCTAAAGAATCAAGCTGTGCAGCATGGCAGAGGTGTGTGTTTATGTCCGATAAAATCTCAGCAAACTGTAATATTGTGTTCTTGCTCCCCCTGTATACTGATATAATACATAATGTCCTTAATATATTCATAAATATTAATCAAGTCAAATGCTCTAAAAATGCTTGTAGCCTGTTTCATGCAAATGTTATTTCAGTCTGTGGAATACAATGAATTCCTGAATTGAAAAGAACTAGAAACTCTAGGAAACTACTTAAAACTTGTGCTGAAAGTTGTCAACTCCTTTGTAATGTTCTGTTTGCTTGAGTCAGAAGCTGAATTTGCCTGTTTTCTTTCTGTTGCTATTTCAACTCTCACAGTTTCTGAGGAAAGAGGTCAAAACACTTATAAATTTGTTACTATACCAAAAAATACCACAATAGTTACCTTGAACTGTGTGGACTTTAAGTTCATAGTTTAACTTAAAACTGGAGGGTGGATATTGTCTCCTCAGTAATTGCGGGGGAAGAGAGGGTAAGCTAGGACAAGTACATTCATGCATCAAGCATCTTGAAATAAAGGTAGTTATGTCTGATACTCTAGGAAAAAGGGCCAGAGAGGGGATACAAGAGAAAGATGGGGTGTTGGGCTAAAAGAACAACCTGAAAAGAACAATTCTGAAAGAAGAGAAGCAGCTGTAAATTGTGTATCTCAAAGCTGAAGAAGGTGATGTTAGCCTGATAAAAATTCGTGTGTGGATAGATGAGAAAGAAAACCTTGGAGAGACAAGGTGCAGAAGGAATTTGTAAAATGTATTGAGGGTGAATTTGAGGCCTCAGAGTGGTTGAATGGCTTGGGGGGGGGGATTAACAACTCTGGGTGGGCTTGGATTCAAGTAAGAAGCTTTTAGAGGAATTCTGTAGCACATAAGAGCAGACCAGGTGGGGACAGTGATTTTGATGCTCCCTAAGTGACTGGGAGGCAATGAAATATCCATGAACACTTGGTTTGCAGAAAA